AGTATGCCAGTAATTCTCAGTCCTCTCTGCAGGCTCCTAAAACTGTTCCAATGGAGGTGAAGACTCTTGTACAGCTAATTCAAACTTGCTGCCAGTAGCCTTGCATTTTTCTCTTAAATCAGTTCTGTGAAGCCCTTAGAAACAGTCCATGTTACCTTGGGTGTCTGCAGTTCCAGGCTGAAAAAGTACTGCACCATACTGTTGTCAGAAAGGAACTCACAAGTCTAACAATTACATTTATTTCAAAGGCAATACAGATACCTTGTCAGTTTTCAAAATGTTATGTTCAGACTCTTGTTTTCAAAATGTTATGTTCAGACTACAGTCAGAACTGTTGAGAAAAGCCTACTCGGTACCAGCAGTTACATTTGCAAGTAATCTGTATTGAAATTCTGTGTACTGTTCTGTATATGGCAAGTGCTTAAAATGCATTAATACTATTTTTATCTGATTGTAGATACAAGTGTTAAACCAAAGGTGGAATGCAGTGTAGTAACTGAATTTACAGACCACATTTGTGTAACTATGGATGCTGAATTGATTATGTTTCTACATGACTTGGTGTCTGCTTATCTAAAAGAAAAAGAAAAAGGTAAGCTGTTATTTGTGGTAAGACTGGCCTGACAGTCTGTAATTGTCAGACTACTTGATAGTAAATATTTGCATGCTTTCTAAATACAGTTGACTTGTTTAAAAATTTATTTAATTAAAAATAATAATAAAAAAGTGCCTAAATTGCTGCTACTGAAATCAACAGAAATAGTATTAAAAGTTTGTGAAATTGTTAGTGCTGTGAAATGGTAGCTACCTCTTTTGATCACTGATAAGTGAAGTTTAACCACAAAAAGCGCGGAGTTTTCCAGGAGTATTTGAGCTGACTTTAAGTCAGGCCCTGTAAGACTGGAAGCACGGTAGCTGCATACAGGGTGCTTTAGTGACTTTAGAGTGCTTTACACATGAACACATTTAGTTACAGCATTCAAATTTGGCACATGCATTCTTAAAGAATATGTGGCCTTTGCTAAAGAGAGTGAATTGAAGACAACAGAAATCGATGTATACATAAAGTGTGACAAACAGTGACTTTGGTTGTTGTAAATTTAATGTGAATAAACTATGCAATACTAAATGACTGTGCTCTATAATTATCTGCATATTGAAGAGTAGGTCATGATTGTGCATCTTTAATGCTTTACAATTATTTCCATAAGTATCTAAAATGTATTAAAAATCAGTTAAGATTTGGGAAAGAACAGCACTGTAGATGCTCATCATAGGTAAAATTTGAGATGTTACTTTGATGATGACATCTAAAAAGTATATTCAAAATAAAAGCAGCTTACTCAAAGTTCTAAAACTTCTTCAGTTTCCAAATTTTCCATAGAAATCCTAGTACAGATTCTCATTCCTGTACTTTTTTCCTGAAAGACTTCCATGAGAGTAATGTAAGACAGTAATGCATGTGTAAACAATGAGTTACTACCATAGTGAAAGTCACATTTGTTTTTCTGGTGTATGAAATTGAGTGTTGCACATAGTAGTTTGCATTTATTACTCATCTGGCATTCATGTTAGATGATGTTATGTATAACATAACTAGTATAACATATTAAAATTTATTATTTTACAAATGGCTTTTCTATAACTGTTTCAAAATCTGTTGTGTACAATGGAGCTCAGGGATACTAATTTTCCTAAAAGTGCTTTATACTGAGATGTCCAAGAGGTGCAGAAGCTAACAAAAGGGGAAAATAACTTTTTTTGGTGAATACTCTGTCAAAAAATACTTGGTTTCAGGCTATCCAGAGTAACTCAAAATTCAGTCCCAGTTCACAGATTTGTTTTTATTTTATAAAATGTGCTGTTTGGAGGAGAAAGAGCTGCTGTTCCCTTTCTGTATTCCATGATTTAAACTCAAGTAAGAACTGGGTTCAGGTATCCTTGATGCCTTTGGACAAAGATTTAACTTAATTATTACCTCACCATCCTCCTCCTCTGTCAATCAAAAAATAAAAATCCAAACTTAGGAGTGTGTCTGAATTTTGTTTATGGAATGTGATATGTTTTGTTTCATGCCGTGATGAAATTGGAAGACCCTGTACATGGATGCTTTGGGATTGCAGAGAGAAGAATTCCACATCCCAGTATTAGCCAGCAATGATTTAAGTTTTTTCATATATTTTATTAGCACTTTGTTCAAACCAAAAATGTTGGCCAGAAATTCTGTAAAGGTGTTACAACAAGCTGAAACATAACGTGTTTTTCTCTTGTTTGAGATTTGCTCTGGTGTTTCTTTTAAGATGTCCAAAGAGGATTCAAATCAGATGCTCATGACTGACTGATGGTTTGTTGTGTGTTTTTTTTTTCCCATCTCTATTTTGTAGCTATTTTTCCTCCTCGCATTTTGGCTTCTCGTCCAGGGCAGAAAAACTCTGTTGGTGTACTTGAGGACAGCTCCACTGAGAAAGAAGCAGAGGAAAGCATTACTTACACTACAGTCGACTGGAGAGAATTTATGTGCAATACTTGGCATTTGGAACCCACGCTCAGGTAACGACCATGTTTATCCGCAATCTCGTTACGCATTTTATCTGTGGGTACTGTCCTTCAAAATACAAGCGTTTCCAAGTTGATTCTGTTCAGCTACTAAGAGGATTGATCACATGGATGCTGTTAGAAATTCATCTTTGGCTATTAGTGTTGGTATGAAAGATGGTCAGGACATGACAAAAGCTGGATAATGCAATTATCACATTAATTAACTCCTAGATTGCACTTCTGGAAGGTACATTTAGGTTAAAAGAATCATTAAGGCTCTTTAAAATCAGGACAATAAAATTAAACTCATCAAGAACCACAGATGACTGTTTTTCACTTTGTCCTTCATTTCATTCAGTTTCTAACATATAACTTCTCACCTTGCAGTTTTAACAGAATCATCTAGGTTGGAAGAGACCTCCAAGATCACAGAGTCCAACCTCTGACCTAACACTAACAAGTCTTCCACTAAACCATATCACTAAGCTCTAAATCTAAACATCTTTTAAAAACCTCCAGGGATGGTGACAAAACCACTTCCCTGGGCAGCCCATTCCAATGCCTAACAACCCTCTCAGTAAAGAAGTTCTTCCTAATATCCAACCTAAACCTCCCCTGGCACAACTTTAGCCCATTCCGTGTATTTTACCGTTTTTCTTTTGAAGGGCTGTCTTTCTGTTCTTACAAGCAGTTCTACAGAAGAACTTCCTTTATACTCTTGTATAATATAAAAATTGAGTTGCATGTTAATGATAAATACGAATTATTTGAAAATTTCAAGTATTGACAACTTTCCTTCTCCTTTCATTTTTTTCCTCATATGTAAACTTTGCTGACACTTGGCAAGAAATTCCTCACTACCATGCCAAGAGGGAAGATTTTTTTTCCTCCAGAACAGGAATTTAGGTAGTTCTAGTTATTACTTCAGCAGTCACCTTAAAATAATAAAATATATATATATATATATATAAAAGTTGCTATATGGCAGTTTAAGCATAACACAAGAGAACAGCACACATACCAGATATATACCAGCAACCCACTGCTCTCAATACACACATTTAATCCCTAGAAATGACTTCTTTTTTTGTCAGGGTTTGTTGGCTTTTTAACCTCTGCTGACACTACTAGTGCATGTAAGTGTTCATTCACTTCATATCAGAACACACATCAACCCAGGCCAAATGAATTCTTATCTCCCTGAGCATCCTGTTACTTTGAGAGTTGGTTATCTTCAACTATCTGTATATACCAAGCTTGAAGACTGTTGGGCAGAAGGGTGTTTATATAGACAAATGGTAGTTGCTATGTAAATTCGAGATCCAGTTGCCTATTATTGTTGTTGTTGCTTTGTTAGATTAATATCCTGGACTGGGAGAAAAATTGATCCTGTTGGCGTTGACTACATCCTTCAAAAGCTGGGCTTTCACCATGCAAGGACTACTATTCCCAAGTGGCTGCAGCGTGGTGTCATGGATCCTTTGGACAAAGTTTTGTCAGTTCTTATAAAGAAACTTGGTACTGCACTACAGGATGAAAAGGAAAAGAAAGGAAAAGACAAAGAAGAATACTAAAACTATAATGTGACAACCGTAATTCCGTTTGATTTTATCGAAGTGTTTTATTGTAAGAATTTAAATATGGTTTAAAGAGAAACCTAACAGCTTTTTGCTACTCTATTTAAAACTTACATTGTGAGTAACTGTTTACTGTGGTACATGATACCATTCTGTATTTGAAGTATTGCATGATTAAGACCAATGTATATTCTGTGAAGGAATAGCTGGAACACTGTAAATCTGCTCCTCAGTCTCCACTGTTTTATTGTGTGCAATATGATTCCTGCATCTTCAAAATATTTGCAGATTAACTGTGAATTTTCAGAAACTTTATTTGCCATAACACAAAACCCTATGTTGATGTGACTGGTAATTGATTCGTCAATGTAGACTCGTGTAAATTATATATATACATAACTTATGAAACTGTGATTGCCTAAGTGCTAAAAAAATCGTTAAGTTTATTACACTTGTATTAAAATTTAACTATTGTACAGATTTTTTTTTGTTCAACCTCTTTGATTAAAAAAGTGTTTTAAGTGTAACTTGGCATCCTGTATCCTTCCAGCGGGGGCTGCCCGTCCCCCGCACCTCATGGCCGGGAGCCCGCCCTTCCCCTCAGGGCGCTGGGACGAGGCGGCGCGGGCTCCCGGCGCCCGCAGGGAGGAAAGAGCCAGAGGCGGCGGCGGCGCCCAGCCGCAGGGAGAGGGCGGCGGCCCCGCGGCCCGGGGAAGCACCGGGCCCCGCTCCTGCGGTTTCAGGCTCCGGTTTCAGGTGCCGCCCTGCCCCGGCCCCAGCCCTGGCACGGGAAGCCGGCGAGACACAGCGCGGGGGCCGCGCCCCGCCGCAGCGTGGCTGGGAGGCTTCGCGCCGCGGCCGCCATTTTGCGGCGGGACGAGGCCCCGGCCCCTCCCTCGCGCCTCGGCCGCCAGAAAATGGCGGGGCTGGGCGGCTGCCTCTGAGGCGCTGGTGGTGGTGCTGAGCGGGCCCTGGGGAGAGCTCCGCTTGGGGCTGCTTCCCGGGGTGGTGGAGGGATAAAACTCCGCAAATCGGTGCTGGAGGTGTGTGGGGAGGTGGTGAGGTGGCTTTGGGCTTTGTCATGTCGGCTGGCAAAGGGGAGGACTTGGAGGACGCGTTTCGGTTCTGCTTCGGTCTGTAGGGAAATGGAGGGTGTCTGCTGTGGAAGTTTCTTCTGAGGAATGGTTTAGCTAAGATGAGTTTGTTGAATGCTTTTAACATCCGATAATGCTATTATTGAATGTAGGTTGATGAAAAATGGCTAGTAACAGTGACTGTTTCCAGAGTGTCACAGCACCTGCATGTGACCCCATGCAGAAGACAACTTTGCCAGCTCAGCCTTCTACAAAGCAGCCTTTAGGAAAGTATCTGGCTGTAAGGCCAAAATCCTCACCTTCTGAGAGGTACAGTGGACGAGGTTTCGCTCAGAAGATGGCACAAAATCAAGGTATAGTTTTGAGTTTATTCGTTAGGAATGGCTGTTGTAATGACCTCTTAATGCTACTGGGAGTAACTTTTATGACTTTCTCCTTTTTGGAGCTCTGCAACTTGTTCTTATCCTTGCATTTTCTCAAATGACTTTCTTAGCACCTCCTTGAACTTGTTCCTCCTTTTCCAGTTTTGTTTTGCAATGCAAGTTTGTTAGCATAAGAAAACTGTTTTAGGGTAGACTGACTGTAGGGGCAGATGGAGGATCATCCCCACCTTACTCTCCTGCTCGCAGGTGTGGCTGATGGTGGGGCCCCGCAGGGTCACAGTGCCTGTGCTGCTCTCAGCCCGTGTCCGCCTCAGCAGGAGGTGCTGTCCCTGCCTTAGGCAGCAGTTTGTAGGGGGTGGCTTCTCTTCAATTCTTGCTTTTTGAATGGATGTGCTTGCTGCAGCTTGATGGTGTCAAATGACAGGGAGTTCCACTGCTTGTGTTGTGTGAAAAACCACATGCTTGATTGCTTTGAGTGTGCCATCAGCAACTTTCATTTGATCTCTGGTTTGCAGTTGGGGCTGAAGTGTGTTTTGGTTTTATGTGTAGTATCTGTCCATGTGCAGAGGTTAGCGGACTTGGTACTCACAGTAAACACGTTGGTGCTTTCGGAAGAGGAGGTGCAAGCCATGCCAGGATTGCTTATATTTTAATGGATTTAAAAGGATTTAATAGAAAGCAATACTGTGCTAGAGCAAATATTTTTGCTTTGTCTTTGAAGAAGTGTCTAAAACCCATTTATTTTAAACAGATGTAAACTGTTGGAGAGGCTGTTCAGTTCTTTATTTAAATTTATTCTTTGTTTTTATTCCAGAGCCTTTACTGTCAAAACCACCCTGTATACCTCTGCAATCAGAACTTCCCTCAAAGGAAGTGCTAGCAGAGTTTATTGAAACATACAAGCAGGGCAAAATAAATCCCGTGTCTGCTTTGTATCAGTTTGCACATATGCACAGAGTAAAACTTGAATTGAAAGAAACTAGTGCGCCAGGTAAGTACTTCTTTGCTTAATTACAATTGTGTTTCCTTATCCTAGAGATGATTTCAGTTTCTCTGGCTTGTATTGATGGCACTAATACAGATTTTTTTTTTTTTTAAGTGTTAGACAAACTACTGCCACCTATATTGCTTTTTGTTTACCCTTCTACTGTCTACACAGTCATGTTTTATAATTAATTACCACAGAATTTGATCAGATTAATTGTATGAAGTTCTGGATGCTACTTCTCGACATCATTTTTGTTTTATCTTGTGTAGTCAAGCAGTTAGTCTTCCTAGGCAGTTACTGTTACAGAAGACCTTAGCATGTCTTTTGGCTTTCTTACTAAATTATGTGAAATAACTGTTCAGCCCTCGTGCAGCCATTTATGTCTTCTCTGGGTGCACGTTAGCTGTAACATACGCCCTGTGTTGCCGCGTGCTTGGAGCAGTACAGGTGTTGGTCCTGCCTCTGTTTGTGCAGGAACCAGGAAGGGAAGTCCTGGCCAGCAGTCAGACCCACAAGCATTTGCTTCTCAGAACTGTAATCATTTTTCATCTCAGAAGAGGTTGGCTTTCACATCGCCATGGCTGCTTGTTGCTCAGGTAGTACTGTGCTGATTGCAGTGGAAGCTGCTTCTGACTTGCAGACTGACTTCCCTCGTGCCCAGTTCATTCCCAGCTTTGCGTGTTGTTCTTGCCTTCTACTTACTGTAAGCAGCTCTTTCTCTGGGGTGCAGCAGTTGTATGCTGTCTTGGTATTTTTTTTTTCCTTTTATTTCCTCTGAGAGGGCAGGGTTAGCAAACCCGGGCATTTCTGTGTTCTTTGTAAGAGAAGGTGTCCTTTTGCCTGGTCGTCTTCCCCCTTTTTCGTTCCAGCTTGGGCTCTATATAATTCAATCTACCTTGTCGAGACCAGCCATATTTTTCCTTTTTTTTGGAAGTCCACTATTCATCTAAAGGATGATGAGCTCAACTAGACACAATATGCTTTTGTATTCCAGTTTGTCTCTCTGTGGATCTTCATCTTTTCTTTCACAGTTTGCTACAAAGAATTGCATGTTAATTGTGGTTAAATGGAGGTCTTTGTAGCCGTTTTAGGTGACAATTTCCCCTCTGTGAAATACAGCTCCTGTATTGGCGAGTTGGCTGATGGCATTCCTGAGGTGGAATGTTGTTTTTTATTTATATTTTTTTTGTGTGTGTGATCTCTTTGATTCCCTTTTAGTGTTCACCCAGCCCATACCATGTAGTAGAAATGCCTCTTTGTTACACAGCCATAGGACTCTTTCCTTGTTGCTTTCATATTACTGAAGGTGAAACTCACTTAACTTCAGTTTATTTCTGGGGGTTTTATCTGATCTCTTTTTTGGTTTTGTTGTTCTCTTCAGAAATTCTATAGCAAAGGGCACTGTCACTATTGATCTGGTTAGAGGAAAGAGCTCTTTTAAAACAAGTCCCTCTTGCTCTCTGTCATGAAAGCTTCTCATAGGATATAGAATCATAGAATGGTTTGGGTTGGCAGGGACCTTAAAGACAATCGAATTCCAAAACCCCTGCCATAGGCAGTGATACCTCCCACCAGCCCAGGTTGCTCAAAGCCCCATCCAGCCTGGCCTTGAGCACCAGGGATGGGGCAGCCACAGCTTCTCTGGGCAGCCTGTGGAAGTGCCTTGCCACCCTCTGAGTGATGAATTTCCTCCTTACATCAAATCTAAACCTATCCTCTTCCACTACAAAGCCACTCCCCCTTGTTCTGTCCCCACGCTCTGTGACAGAGTCCCTCCCCAGCTTTCCTTTAGGCCCCCTTCAGGTACTGGCAGGCCGCTGTAAGGTCTGCCCAGAGCATTCTCTTCTCCAGGCTGCACATAGCCAGCTCTCTCAGCCTGTCTTCATAGGAGATGTGCTTCAGTCCCTTGACCATCCTTTTGGCCCTCCCCTGGACTCTCTCCAGCAGCTCCCTGTCCTTCTCGTGCTGGGGGCCCCAGAGCTGGGTGCAGGACTTGAGGTGGGGTCTCAGGAGAGCAGAGCAGAGGGGGCAGTCACCTCTCTCATCCTGCTGGTCTCTCTGCTTCCGATGCAGCCCAGGATCCGGTTGGCTTTTGGGGCTGGAAGCACACAGTGCTGGCTATTGATAAAGGTACATTATATAGAATTACTAACTCTGTGTGCCCTTTTTTCCTTTAAAGGCAACGTCATAAGTCTTTATTTTGCCTTTTCTGCTGTGTTGAGTGGTGTTTGCTACAAGATCGGATTGGGGAAAAACAAGAAAGAAGCTAAATTCAATGCAGCTAAACTGGCTCTTGATGAGATCCTGGAACTGGAGTATTCAGGGGCAGTGACTTCTGACAAGTCAGGTAAATACTCGAGCAGCACCTAAACAGAACTTGAAAAGCCTTGCTTAAAGATTTTCTGTGCAGAATTTCTGTGGAGCTTTATGGAGTGTTTCTGTATCGTGCCTTCTGTCAGTTTTCTTGGATCCTTTGAGCGGAGTTAACCTGTCATGCGGTTCTGAAACTGTGTTTTCCCTTTGTCTTTCATATACTAGGAGTTGCATCAGAGTTTGTAGCACAGAGAGGAGAATTACTAAAGCAATCTATTTGTTGCTGTTGCACTTGTTTTGCTGCTCGTGAGTTTACAGCAATGTGAAGTTGATCCTAAGTGGTTGAGAACTCTTAACAAAAAAAATTAAAAACACTGAGTTACTATTTCCAAAAGAGTTGAGCTACATGATGTTTACCTTCTTTTAAGGGTTGCTACCTAGACAGTTCTATGCTTGTAAGGACTTCAGAATCAGAAAAACGATTTGTAGGGAACTGGAAAGTTTAGCTTGCTGGAAATAGTGTGCCATCCATGTTTGGAAATCTGTTATGTCAACCCCAGTTTGAAATTCTGTTCAATTCTTAGGTCCTCCCTGTATTCCTGTTGAGTCTAAAGCTCCAGAAAACTCTGCTTATGTTTCACGGATCTGTTCTGGTAAGGAATAGTCTTGTTTTTCTATACTGATTCAGATTACCCATCAAATGCTTTTGTTTTTCTTTAATGCTGTTCATAAAACCTTCAGTGACCTGCGTAAAGTTACTGTTGTTTTAGACATCTCTCTGAAGAGTGGCATGTTAGTTACAGAAGTGGGAGACTGACCTGACCATTGCTACTACAACTGGCTGACAGATGCCACTTGAGTAAATTGCTTGAATTGCAGTCTTGAATCTGTGACAGAAGCAGTATTTCTGCCCTTTTTTTGAAATGCACTTTCCAGTAGATGGTCAGTCTTAATCCATATCCCCAGTTTGTCATGACTAATAAAACCATGAAGTGTTCAGGTATCCTTGTCCTTCATTTATTCGTGCCCATCCTTAAAATTGTCAGAATCACCATGTATGCTCACAGTAGTGCTTTTATTGTGGGTTTCAGTTGATAATTTGGGAAGTGTTTTGCTTCTGTCTGTTTTTCCCCTGCAAATTTGTGTCTTGCTGGATTTTCTTCTTCTATTTAGAAGGAAGACGGCTCATATATCAAAAATTTTCAGCAATGCTGGAAAGACTGTTCAGCAGCCTGACTACCGAATACCCGGAGTACCAAAGCTGTGGCAGTTCACTGGCTGCCTTCATCATTGAAAAAGGCAAGTCTGCTGTAATCCTGAGTGCAGGCCTGGTCTGTGTTCCCAGAGAGCTTTGCTTAATGTGTTTCTGATCTGATAAATAGCCATAAATGGCAGCTGTTCTCCATTGACATGCTCTCTTCTGATGGCTCTACCACAAATATCCTGTGTAAGGAGAACTTGTGTGTTGCTCTTAAGCTGTTGGAGTACTGTCGGTGTATGAATAGAGGTCCAAGGAGAGAAAATTGGATGAGGTAGAGATGCCAGAGTGGACCTCAAAGACGGCTAAAAGAGTAAAAAGAGGGATCAGGGCTAATGAAATGTGGGGGAAGTCTTTTCACTAAGAGTTCAAGTGACTTTTTTGGAAGAGATTCTAAATTTAGGTGAGGCCATGTGAAATGTACCGCTGTATGCTAGACCATCACTGTTACTTGTGGTCATATATCCGTGTCATCGTTGTCACCTTCTGTATAGTGAAGCACTGATGTGTGGTAACATGTGTTGACATGAGCAATGCTCTGTCTTGGCTGCTGCCAGAACATTAAGCAGTCTATTCCAGGCTTTGTTTTTGAGTGTGCTCGAGTGTGCTCAAGTGTGCTGCTGCCTTCAGCAGCGTGAGGCAAACCATGAGCATCCTTCAGCAGCCCATCTGTGGAGCCTGTTCCATATGGCTTGCCCTACCTGCATTAAGGAACCCCCCCAGCCAAATACTGCTTGTTCTCCCCGTGTGTTTTAAGCATGATGGTGCTGTCCTCGATGTCAGAGTTGTTGAGGTTATTAAATGAACATCTTCATTAAGCTGAAAATACTGATTCTTAGATCTGTTTAACTAGTTTTAAAGGAGAAGTTGGAAAAAGGCAATTGCTTGATTACATAAAAATAAATGTGTTCTTTTTAGGTGGACAGTATGAAATTGTAGCTCTGGGAACAGGACAATGCAATTACAGTCAGGACTATCAGCCCAATGGAAGAGTGTTACATGACAGCCATGCCATCGTTACCGCAAGGCGTTCTCTCCTTAGGTGAGAGTGTGGGTACCAATAGTTAACCGCTTCTTTTGCAGCCAGTTCTTAGTTTTCCTTTTCCTAAGGTAAATATAAGTGCCTTTGCATGTTTTTAGTTAGTGCTTTCTAGATCATGATCAAATCGTATAGAACAAAGTAAATTAAATGTGACTGTCAAATATTCATGAACAACTTTGCATTTCTCCCATTTATTGTTACTTACCACTTTGTTTTAGGTATTTTTATAGACATCTTATGCTGTTCTATAATAAAAATCCAGCACGCACAGAGACGTCCATATTTTGCACAGCACCTGGCTCAAAGCTGCTTGTCCTAAAACAAAATACAAACATCTTTCTCTATATGAATCAGCTGCCAAAAGGATCTGCGCAGTTGAAATCACAGTTGTAAGTACTCAGCTATTTTCAGATGTGTTGTAATGGAAGATGAGTTTGTTCACATTGACAGACATGAGTGTGAAAAATAGGCATCATTACGTGCTTTTAATAGCAGGGGGCGTCTGCTGATTATTTTTTTCAAGTTTTGGAAGCGTTAGTGTACAGGGTGGTAGTGGTAAGTGTCTGAGATGCAGCTTAACATGACAATACACAAAACTTTTACATCGGCTATAATTTCAGGGTGATACTCTGTTTATGACAGATCATCTGTTTACCTCTTAACCCTTCACCCTGAGATACTCTTAATTTAACCATTGAGGACGCACATGTGGTAACTTAATGTCATCCTTTGTACCCCAGGAGTAGACTACAAAAAGTCTTGGATTGCGTACTATAAAAAAAAACTGTACCAAGCTGCTCTGCTTTGTAGAAAAAAAGAGAACAGAAAAGGAGTATACCTGCTTCACCAACTCTGTGCTTACCTCTAACTTCTGTTGTACTCCTGAAATTTTTATAGGCTTGAGACTGAACATCAGCATTCAATGGCTTAACCAAGTTATTATGAAGAATAGTACTTCGTTTCCCCATTAGTGAGTGGTGCAGTGGAATAACAAGGCAGCCCGGTACCTCCATACCCTATTTTGGTGCTCAGAAGGTAGACTTCTGGGCTAGAGGTCACAGTCAGTTCATTGTCAGTTGTGCTGACTGGGGGAAGCCTTCCTGTAAGAAGTGCTGAAGGTTTCAGGTCACTTTCTCTGTCATAGCCTGCTCTTAGAAGGAAATAGTTAACGAGACTGGATGCAGCTTGCCAGCTACTTCATGATAGTTAATAGATCACAGATCCACCATTAGTTTTTTTGTTCACTTTTGGTCTGTTCTGGTCAGTGCATGTACACTACTGTGACAAACTCAGAAATAACTTATTCTAATATGGCAGATCAGTTTATATACAAAGTAAGTTATTTTAAAGATATCTATCTATCTATATATAAATAAAGTTACAAGTAATCCATTGGGTATTTTGGGGCAAACAGCATTAGATGCCACTTCATAATAATCTCTGACTACTTCCTCACTGCAGTTCCTTTTCATGTCTTACTTCAGACATCTCAATCCCCAATCTGTATCTGCTTATGAAGCTAGTGAAGAACTGAGTCTCCACGTTGCTGTAGAAGGCAGGATTTACCTTTCGGTTTGTTGTCCACCTAAAACTGCTAGAGCAAGGAGCATGTCAGCCACTGACAAATTAACAAAATGGGAAGTGGTTGGTATTCAGGGAGCATTGCTGAGTCACTTCATTGAACCAGTTTATATCAACAGTATTCTTGTAGGTAAGCTCAAAAAATCACAATTTTTTTTGTATGTCTTCATCTTCCACTGTGATTACATATTACGAAAAATGAACTAAACAGTGGTGGCTCTTTAAAGATTTGCAGTCGTTTGTTTTTGTTTTTTTTTCTTTCTGAAAAGCTACTGGATATGTTTTGTTTTGTTTTCACTTATCTTGGAAATGGCCTAATGTGAAACTCAGTTAGTGTAATTGTTTTGTCCTTTCGTTTCTTTTTAGTTTTACAGATGGCCCTCCCTTTACTAGTATAGTGGCAATGCAGTAATACCAGAAATTCAGTTTCGTTCTATAACAAATGAAATTTTAAATATTGAGAGAATACCAAATAAGTGTGACAAATGCTGTGTTAACTATTTGATCAAATCTGGTGACTTTAAGGTGACAGTGTTAGTCACTTAACTGTAGAAATGAGCAATGGTGGAAAAACTGCTCCAGTATTTAATTGAAAATATCAGAATACCCAATTTTGGGTAAGCCTCACCCTGGGTTACCTTAGCAGCTATATTAGAAAGTATTTGTCTTTTTTTTTATTAACTTTTTTATTTCACTACCTTGTATTGGTTATTGCAAATAGCTGTTTTGTTGTGCAATAAATAGGGATTACCAGGGCAATGCTGAATTCTCAGGTTTCTGTAGCGTTCAGGAAGACAATGCTGCTATCGGAACTCATTTCAATATTTTTTATTTATAAGGCAGAATTAATTTAATGAGTATTATCCTTGAGTTTTTGAGGTGTTTTTTTGTCTCTGAGCATTTGTATTATGAGACTTAGTACACACATACCTGACTTGCCCAGACATTGGAGCTGCAACAGCATTTCCTTTTCTAACACTGAAGAAGGTTTCTGAAGTTCTTCAAAAATCCTGTGATAGTTGTTGAATAATTCAATGTTCCTTCTTAGGAAGTCAGGGCACTTTTGCTTAAACGAAGCAATAGAAAAGCTCCTCATGCTCATTTGAGTGGTGTTCTAAGTAAGCATAATAATCTATTAAACATGTATTATAGAAGAGTAACACATTTTATGACTGTTCTTGAGATACTGTGGACCAAAATATGTTTTATTTAAGTAGGCAAAGTAAACAACATATGTTTAATGTTTCTTTAAGTAGCTTTTTTTTTCTTTTTTTGAATGTGTATAATTGAAATCTGAGGTTTGTTAGTTTCTACCATAAGAAGTCTGGGATCTTTCCTTAAAAAAGATGTTTTAGTATGGAGCAATGTGAGCACATTGGCTAGTGTATTTTCTACTGGAGAATATGGAAGTTCTATTTTAATGGTGTCTTCTGTGAGGTGGAAAGTTAATGAAGAGTTAAGTATTCCAAAAAGGGAAGTATCTAATGATGATGGCTCTGGGGAGGAGGAATAAAAGTGAAATTTTTCAGTTTGCTCAGATCAGAGCAATATACATGTTAGGCATCTCTTACTAAGTTTTACTATGCTTTTTGTCATTTTAACTAGTTGACCATTCAAAACAGAACAGAAATATTGGAACTGATTTTTCTGAACTGTTTTTTTTTTTTTTTTGTAGAAAAATCGATATAATGTCGACTGATGGAAAATCTGTTGATTTTCTTACATGTGACTGGTTTTGTTTTAACAGGAAGTGGAAACTGCAAGGATACGAGAGGGTTAGAAATTGCTGTAAAACAGCGTATTGATGATGCACTCACAGTAGAGCTTCCCATGCTTTATGTGGTCAACAGATCTCATATTTATTTGGTGAACGCTGCACAGCCAATTCAGATGGATATGAAAAACTGGTCTCTGAGTTTGAATTGGTCGCTGTCAGATGCATCAGTGGAGGTTGTGGATGGATTAAATGGAAAAACCACTGAACGGTCAGAATTTTATTCTCCCTTATGTTGAAAATAATATACTTGCTGTTCTGTATTGGCTCATTTCGAATATTCAGTTTTTAAGCTATGCATGGAGCCTACGCTGTAATCGAAATGAGAGATCCTCTCCTATGTTAGAGAGATCCTCTCCTATGTTAGAGAGATCCTCTCCTATGTTAAGTGTGTCCATCCTATATTTAGATGTAATTTTAGAGATCTTTTAACAATCCAGTGACATGCCAAAATATGAAACGTGAATTAATATATATTTAGTTGTTGTAGTGAATACTTTGCTTTTCAGAATGCATGGAACAAAGTAACATCTGAGTTCCTATGAATTCCAGTTTGTAAACAGTTCTTGGTTTATTTTACGTTCTCTTACCTGAATTAGCTTTGCTCATTCAAAGTGGAAGCAGCATCATGTGATTGAATTCACAAAGCATTGGGGCAAAAAAAATACAATAATGATCACAGCAATATACCTGTTAAGCACCTCTTACTGAGTTTCACTGTGCTTTTTGTCATTCTGACTGCAGTTCACCGTTCAAAAGTGGCACTTACATGGCAAGTCGTCTTTGCAAGGCGGCAATGCTTAGTCGTTTCAAATCGCTGGCCAAGGAAGCAGAAAGAAATGATTTACTTCAAATTGCTACATACCACAAAGCTAAGGTAAGCTGGTAAGGGAGAAAAAATATATTAAGTCTCTGAAAGGCTTCTCTCAAAACTGCTTTGGTAGGCTGGGATGATCTGGATTGCTGAAGAGTTCACGTGAACGTCTGGATTCTTTTATTGCCTGTCATCTTTGCCTAAAGCTCTCTGAAGTTGCTGTTTTCAAGTAAAGTCAAGTGAAACTAATCTTGACGCATCCTCTCTGAAAATCTTTCATATTTTGTCTCAGGATTTGAAGGCTGCTTGACATTTTGCTTACAGTAAGATTAGTTTCATGCTGGAAGCTTTTTTGTCTTTTTAATCCAACTGTTTTATATTCAGTTCATACATACATTAGTGTTTTTCTGCCACAGAGTGCTTTTGTGTAGGAATTCTTACTTTGCAGAGGGAGAGGAAAGTAGAAATCATTCATTATCACTAATTCCTAAGCTTTCCCTTGTGGTATAAAAAGACAGAGAAATGACCTAAAGGAGTTACTGTGAGTTTTTGTTGCTGTAAATAAATTTTACTCACTTGTCCCTGCTTGGAAGTCCATAGTCCAACTCCTCTGTATTCTTCTTCATTGAGTGACATTGAATGTTCATTTATTTTCAGTGTAAATATGTTATTGGAACTGAAAAGATGCCAGGGAAAAAAAGATGACCTATTTAACAGAACAGTTCTCCTATTCCAGTAAATGCCCAAAAATATACAAATAGTAAGTTCTTGGATTCTGTAACAGTACTTCACTGTCAGCAAGTAGTGGAATTGTAAAATCTGTTTACGTTTTTTTCTGTGAGGTTTGTTCTCACGCGTATTATATGAGTATTGAAGAATGCAGATCTCTGGGACTATGGATCTTGAAGGATTTCAAGACAAAACTTTTTTTTTTTTTAGATTCAGTCCAAATCGTATCAAGAAGCTAAAAAGTTGCTGCACAGCTACTTGGAGGAACATGGTTATGGGTCCTGGATTGTGAAGTCTCCTTCTATAGAACAGTTCAAGGACTAACTGCAAGGTGGATTGCGTGTGAAGTTGGTTTGTGTGATTTCTTTCAGTGAAATGCAGTTCTTGTTAGTAAAACGTTTAACTGTTGGGTTAATATTCACAGGGATAAAATCATTCTAGAGCTTCCTATCATCAGTTTAAATACACGTATTAAGCTGAGTGTAACACAGTTTTTTCACAGGTAGGAGTATCGAACAACATTGCATGGCTATTTTGGTTTGCCTCACCTCCCAGCATCACCTCATCACTTCCCCCCCCGGGGGAGTCACTGACATGTTTTTCCTGTTAGTTTCAGGATTGCTGTGCATCAGTCTCTTCTCTTTACCCCCCCTACCCCCCCTGCATTTTTCATAACTGTCTGTCTTTGAGGAAAAAAATAATCAGTAGAAGTGGAATTTCTTAAAAACTAACAAAAAACTATATCAATGTGTGAGAATCACTGACAATTTGTACTTTATCTGTAGGCATCCTTTGGTAGAATTGTGTTGTTTGTTTTTTTTTTGTATGTAGCTTTCACTGAGCATCTTGTAGTTCACTACCTGTTGTTGGTGGTAGAATGGTTTAAGAAGTCATTTGTGTACTTCCAAATGTGAAACTGAATTATCAGGCTGTTACCAACTGTTTTCTGACAATCACTATTTTTAGTAGTGGGTTTAAAGTGTTGTAAAGGTGTCGAAGCTGTAAACGAGAGTAGTGTGATGTAGCACAGAAGTTACCAGAAACAAGGTTCCTTCAACTTCTGTGGGCTGCCCCAACAGCTGTGAGATGTGAGACTGGGTGGACACCTCCTTCCACAGATTACTTGATCGCTACACTCATTCATCCTTGCAAAATTGTCTCTATAATGATACAAAAAATACTGCCTGTTGAGAGGAAAATTGCTTCCTTGTAAGTTATGATACAATTATGGTAATATCTTGGTAATGTTCAAAAAGTTGTTGTTAACTCTAATAGTTGGGTTTTGTTTTGTTGTGAAATACTAGTGTACTTATCCTCAATACTACGTTTTCATTGCATTGATTTCTGTATTTCATCTAAGTTTGGGAAGCTGTTATATAAAAGTTTTCACACATCAGTAATAATACAGTGCTGTAGTTATGTTTTGGCTTGTTACTGTAAAAGGATTATAAAACAAAAAAAACTCTTCAGTGCTTTATTCTTAACCTGTTTTTCTGACCGTAGGTTCCTTTCCACAATGAGAGAGGTTATGTTGTGAGTAAGATGTGTTAGGATGTGTATGACAGCTGTATCCTTGAAATGTTATGAAATAACTGCGTGGATCTAGTTTTAATATTTAGATTGTTCATTGTTTAATTAGCAGCATATGGAGAATACGTTGAGCTAGTAAATTTCAGCATGTACTTGTTCTATGGGCTTGTTTTCTCACAAAAGTTTTTTTTTTGGAATTACAAAGCTAGGGATGATTCTGTAAGTTTCCAGGTACCTAGGGTACCTGTTAGAGGAAAACCAAGTCACGCTGGATCCAAGATGCTGAGAGGTAAGGCTGCATCTGCACGTCCAGGAGTTGAAGATGTATTCCTGGCAGGCAAATACACCACATACGTCCTTAGCCAGCCCTGGTGATGGTAGAGGGGCACACAGGAGCACTCACCCGAAGACAGCCAGCACCAGCAGCCTCGGGGTGGGAGCTCAGCCTCTCCCCCGGAGATGGAGCTGTGGGGGGCAGAAGGTGGATGTGTACACGGTGGCTTCCTCCAGCACCTGTGTGCAGACAGTGTCAACCCTGTAGTTACCCCCAGATCCTGGTTTCCCCCTTTCCTGGCATCTGGACACACACATCTCAGAGGCTAGAGCTCTGTGCCCGCTGCTGGTACAGACTGTCAGAGGGCTGCTGGGAATTCCCTGCTCCCCACAGCTGGCTCCACTCTGCTCTCACCTCCAGAGCTGTGCAGTCACTTACACACAGCTGCCCCCACCATGTTCATGGCCCTACAGATACAGAGGTGTTCTACACAGAGCTGTCCCTTAGAGCCCCGTTCACCCCCTTGTTCCTAGGCCACTTGGTCTACTCCACAGCTTGTTTGTTGCTGGCAATCACATGCTCCCTTGCACACGTGCACTTGCTCAGACAAAGCTGTGTGGGTATGTGGAACATAGACAAATATAGACAGAGAGTGGAGAGCTCTCACTCAGGAGTGTCTCAGTGAGGAATTTTAGAACAGACCATGGTGATTAAGTGCAAGACAAAAGCCATGTCCTGGCCAGCATACTGTTTATATGTGAGTGGACCTTTTTATCTCCTTACCCTTTCATTTTTGTGCACTTGTTCTTCCCCAGATCACGTAAACACCTTGGTTTTCCTGCCTTTGGTTCCTCCCCTAAAACATCCCATAGTAAGTCCTGTGCAATCCCAAAATGGTCACGCCCTTCATCCCATAATGTGTCCCACAGCCCTAGGCAGTGAACCCTCCTAGTCGAAGAAGGAGAGCTGCTCCCACTGACCCATTCTGATGGGTTTCATGGCTGGGCAACCAGGGTTGGAGGCTCTGCCAGGACAGCCCTGGCAGGGGCCCATATAATGTGATAGCTACTTGGGAGCCCTTATTTATTTATTGTATGGGATTCCATTGAGGTGGGGCTCTGTTGTTGTTTTAGTTTGCTTGTTTTCAATTTACAGGAAAAGTTCCATATATTAAAGTTCACCTTGGTATGCGTTTTCAGGTGCTTTCAGTGTAATACTCTATTTCTTCAGGGATTTCTTTTAGGAATTAGGCAAATAGAGAAGCTGATCCTGCAGCTACTGTAGTACATGATATTATCTACCATCGGTTGCACATTTGATAGATGGGAGAGTTTACTTATTGTAAAGAATATAAGAATTAAGAATATAAGATTTTTTTTTCTTTTTGACAGTAGGTCAAAGGGCAACTGAATGGACTTCAGTGATAGTATTGCAAAACAGGTAGGAAAGTACACCTCTAGTTTCATCAAATGAAACTAGATCTGTTAATTGGCCATATGAATACATGGCCAACGTGTACAATACAACTTTATGAAGTTGCATACAACTTCATAAACGTATTCAAATGTTGTGTTTGCAAACGTACACATTTTAGTGAGAAATCCATTGTGCATTTTTTCTAGAAATTCTGTGGACGAACATAAACTAATCTTTGTCAGTTTTGCCCAACTGATATTTGGCCTGCGGTATATTTTCATTTTGCTTAAGCTTTTACCTTTTCTGTTAAACTCCACGTTACCCAGCCTTATCATAAAGAAATCCTATGGCGGTCTAAACCTCTTTGCACACAGAAAAGTAGTGACCACCGCTGTACGTCTTTGACCCAAAAAATAGTTTTTTGCAAGATCCTGCTGCATTGTTGTTGTTTGCTACGCTTGCTTTCCGTTGTTCTATTTTCTAGCCCAGTATTAAGTTCTATGTATTTTAATATATGCATGGATAATGCACATGAAAAACTGCCCTTATCATATTAGTACTGAATTTTTAAGAACCCTTTAAAACAATAATTACTGTCTTGTATGCAACAAAATTAATCCAGAAGAACTTTTTTTTTTGCTTGTAATGTCTCACTGGCTTCTTCTGTTTAGAAATGGAATTTAGAAGTGAATGCCTAGAATATGGTTTCTCAATGCTAAAGACTTCAAGATATTGAAACAGACTATTATTTTCATTCACATGGAATGCAAAATTACAGCAACTTGAGTATGAATCTTCATCATAATGTTAAGTTTTGATCAGAAATTTGCTCTGAAACCTGCTTTAATCAGGAAATTGCTGGTTAAAAGTCTCCAAATTTGTAGTCCTTTCTAACTTCAGTGAAGTAAATACTTCATCATTAAACATACCAATACTAGGATTTGTATGAATTAGATCCTTCAAATCTGTGTAGTGTTTTTCTAGTAGCATTGCTTACGTCTTGTTGATCTGTACATAAAAGAAACTACATATTTTTATCATAAAGTGTATGTATGACAAAAGAAATTTAGGTCTAAGTAGTAACATTTAGTTCTGGAGGTATTTTTGCACTACCTTTTGCCTTAGTTTTTCTACAGAATGTCATGACTGTGTTTGCATAGTTTTTCAGTGTGCATTTTGTTAACGTGAGATAAATAACTTGCCTCAACTACTGATGTGCAAAGAGCTTATATTGCTAGCCAACATTATACTCATCTACAGAAAGGGTGTAAGAGAACACCCAGAAGACTACAGATCTCTTCATCTAACCTCAGTCCCTAGAAAAGTTACACAGATTGTCACAGGGTGTATCAAAAGGCACTTACAGAAGAAAGCAGTTATCAGGCATAATCAACATGGGTTCATGAAAGGAAAATCTTGCGTTAGTAACTTGATCTCCATGGTCTCTTCTATGGCAAGGTTACCTGTTTGGTGGATGAAGGGAAGGTGGTGGACGTAATATTTGGGATTTCTGTAAGGCCTTTGATAGCATTCCTCACGGCATCCTTCTGGACAAATTGTCCAACTGCAAGAGAAACAGGTTCACCCTATGCTGGGTGATAAACAGGCTTAATGGTAAAGTTCAATGGGATGTACTAAATGGGGCTACATCTGGCTGGTGGTGTTCCCCAGATCTCAATTTTAGGGACAGCCCAGGTCAACATTTTTATCAGTGACCTGGCTGCAGGAGTGGAGTGCATCCTCAGCAAGTTTGCTGATTTTAAACTGGGAAGTGCTGCAGACTCCCTGGAGGGATGAGAGGCCTTGCAGAGGGATTCACATAAATGGGAACGCTGGGCAGTTAGCAACAGCATGGGGTACAACAAAGGAGAATGCCAGGTTCTGCATGTGGGGTTTGTTATAAGTTGCCCCCTTAATTAATTTTCAGAGAGCATTGCATTAATAATAGAAAGGAATTTATTGAGTAAGCAACAGCAAGCAGTCAGTTCGGTTGCAGTGAACTACAAGGTATCGGTTCTTCTTGGCAGCAGCAGTGTTCTTCAGGGGAACCTACTAGGGAGCCTTCGAAACAGGGCCTCCTCCCCTTCCCACGATACACTGATAATATACAATACTTACCGAGTCCGTCCTAGTGTCAGCTTCAAGTCGTCAGGGCCTGGAGCTGCCTCCCATTTACCTTCCCAGATTGGTCCTTTCACACGGCTGGCATGCGTCCATCCTTTCTCTGCAGTTCAAATAGCCGTTTCTGTGGTAAGCAAAACAACATAGGGGCCTTCCCCATAGTGGTGTTAAAGAAGTCTCTTTCCAAGTCTTAATTAGAATTGAGGGTGATCAAGTGGCAATTCCAAGTCATAGGGCATACCATATAGCATTTCAAAAGGAGAAATTCCTACATCAGTTCTGGGCTGTGTCCGTATGTTTAACAGTGCAAGAGGTAAACATGTTACCCAAGAAGCCTTAGTTTCCAGCATAAGTTTTGTTAGTTGTTTCTTAATTTCACCATTCATTCGCTCTTCCTTTCCAGCACTTTGAGGATGCCACGGAGTGTGGTATTCCCAACTTGTTCCTAGAGCTTTCATAGTCTCTTGAGACACTTTGGAGACAAAATGAAGGCCTCGGTCAGAGTCAAGTGTTTCTATAATTCCGTATCTCAGAATAATATTCTCAATTCCCAATTCAACCAGATTTTAGTATTTACTTAACCGATCATAATTTTCGGGATGATTAGGGTCTCAGTTGGGTCGGTCAGGGGAATGCAATTGTCCGCAGTTCCCTGAACGGTCCCATCGGCAATCTGAGCTCGCACATGAACTCAGGTTGTTCTAAGAGTTAGCTGCTTTTCTGTTTCCATAACAACTCTCTCTCGGACAGTCATGATCCCTTTGCCCCAGAGGGCTAACATTCCTGATTTTAGGATCTCAGCCTTGGGCTTAGATGGAACTATTAACATTCCTACATCCTCTTTCCCTGCTCATTCAACTTCGAATACCTTTAACACTTTCAACAAACCTTTTAACACTTCCTTTATCTTTCTCTAGCCTTTACTTTTCTAATGCCAACATCAAAGGCTCAGTCAGGGGTCAACTTAATTCCGTACCTTTTCCCTCCAAGATGCTGAAACAACATCAATATACAACATTTCATCCTGTTTTCCTTCTTTCCACAAAACAACATTGACTGTAATATGGTGTTATAATTAATAGTTCCATTTAGGGGCCACTCCACTCCATCCTCTAGTTTATAAAGTGGCCACCACTGATTACAATATTTGATAAGGGTTCTTTTACTCTCTGTACCCTCTCACCCCACTATATCCCTCCAATGTGTTAGTATACATCCTAGGGGGCTTTTCCTTGGGATTTCTTTGCTTTGAACTTTTCCTATTGTAATCTACAGTGGTTAATATTCCACCGTTTTCCTAGAAGCTCTTTATTAGTCAATCCCAATCCCTCCAAAATCCACAATATACAGATACACGAGTAAAATCAGACCATTGTAAATTAACTGCCTGTAGACAATTACACTGAGGACATTTAAACCTGATGAGCCGATAATATGCCTGGGAAAACTTTGTTCCCTTAGACATACACCTCAATGGCAGTTCTTATATTTACATATTAACATATGTATAAAAGAACACTTTAACAAAAATGCCTGGGCTTTTATATATACAATATACAATGTACAGTTATTATTCCAGTTAGAATTATTCCTCAGCAGCTGCAAACATTGTGCCAGTTGCCATTAAAGCTCGCTTACCCTCCTCCTGTCTCTTTCTTAAAATCTCGGACGTCCCCGGAGTTAATGGGGACGGCCACATATTCCTAGTCACTGGTCCCTGAGCACTAGAGTCAGAGTCGCTATCAGAGTCTCCCCGGGGTTGCGGATTAGGAAGCCCGGGAGTCGGAGGGGCTGCAGGTGGGGGTGTTGGAATATAGGGAGGCAGTGGGGCTGGGGTCTCTAATTCTCGGTTTTTCTTGTGCCTCCCATCCCCTCCTTTTTCTTTTAGAGGATATAAATTGGCTCGAGTTTCTGAGCTGATCCACAAATGTGCATATTCACTTTCTTCCAAACTAAAGGTTCCTTTGAGTTTACATAAATATTTAGGGCCTGGCAAACCCAATCTTCAAAGGACCCAAATACGGGCCAGTAAAGGTGGTCTCCTTAAATCTGTTTACCACCCCAAACTTCAACACAACTGTCTCATTTTTACTGTATTCCTTCCCCGCCTAAAAGGGGAATCCTCCCAATTTTTAATCATTAATCCCGGGGTAACCTAACATCAGACTGTTACCCCACCCATGGGACTAGAAGGCTTACTCTTCTTCTGTTCCATCTTCCGGAGCACCTTCACACACACACGCACAAATCGCTTCCCCCTTTTCGTGGCCCAGTCCCTCGCGGGATGTGGGAACCGCACTACCGAGGGGTCCACACTCGCTTCATCCTGCTGGACGTCTCACAGCGACACGCTCCAGGATACCCAACCCCAACCGAATGGATCACCGGCCTGTACTTACTCACTCCTGAGTCTTCGTTCGGTCTTCGTGCACAAAGATTATTAGGGGTTACCGGCTTTATTTGCTTGCTGCCGAATTCGGTTCGTCGGTGAAGGATTTGAATGGAAGTAGTCCTAGCGAAGGCCGCTGAAATCAGCGGGGCGCCCTCTCCTAAGGTCTTTCAATCAGATTGCCTTCATCCAAGTCACGGCACCCAATTTGTTATAAGTTGCCGCCTTAATTAATTTTCAGAGTGCATTGCATTAATAATAGAAAGGAATTCATTGAGTAAGCAACAGCAAGCAAAACAGCGCTGGGCGGCCGGGGAGTCTCGGCTCCGCCAACAGTGCGCACCTCACCCCCGCCAGGGTCCCTTTTTATATCTTGGTAATTCCGGGATTACGCAGCACATCCTGGTATATTCTGCGACTGCATGCGCTGTTGCTAGCGGGTCGTCTCTGTCCCTCTGGTGGTCATGAAGATGAAGGCCGTAGTCTTCCTCGGCGTTGTGGTTCAACTTCTTTTTTTATATTTGGTCGTGTTGGCCCAGCGTGAGACAGGAAGGCAGGATGTTGATACACTAGTTTAGCAACTTCTCAGGAGATGGCTACATGAGCTTTGCAGCGGGGTCTTTGAACAAAAGAGGCAACTGAGATGCAGAAAGAGAGAAGGAGAGGGGGTTCTCTTTTTTGTTACATTAAGCAAAAGAATTTTCATAGTGTCTAGCCAAGTATTACACAGCTCCTTACTTCAGCAGGGAGCTTTCACAACTCCCGCTCCTCAAATGGAACTCCTTGTTTTTATAATACAAAAGACAATGAATAAACATTTATCGTGTATTACAGGGTTGAGTATTGCCAGACACTGGTACGGACTGGGAGATGAGTGGCTGGGGAGCAGCTCAGCGGGAAGAGATCAGGGGAGGCTTAGGACATGTGGGGTGCCCGGCCTGGAGAAGAAAAGGCCAAGAGGTGACCTCCCTGCCCTCTGCACCTCCTGAGAAGGGGAAGGAAGCACAGAAGGAGGTGCCAGCCTCTGCTCCCTATAATTGTTAGTAGTATTCAGTAGTCCATCAGTAGTATTGTGTAGATCAGTCTTACATTCTTACATGTGTTTTTAAGACTAGGCTCTCTTTAATGCTGTCTCATAGGCTCAGTGCTTACTGTGTTTTTTAATGTTGTCCCACTTAGTTTTAGAGATTTTTTTTTTTTGCATTCTGCTTTTAAGATTTTATCATGTAAAAAAGGAAAGTGTGTAAAAAGAGCTAGTGTTCTATAAGGGTTGACAAAGGAGAAAGAATTTGTTACAAATTTCTTGCTTATTTTCTTATGTTCTGTGTCTTGCAGTATTTAGGTCTTACTGTTATTACAGGCTGTCATTTGGAAAGCGTCTGATTGAGAAGAGGGTGGAGCTGATCTGTTTGTGGCTAGGATGACTGACAGTATTTTGCTTTTCAGAGTCCTTGTGGGTGGGGACAAAGCACTTGACTGTGGGAAGAGAAGTTAAGTAGAGCAACAGATATCAACTCTGTAAGTATTTTCCAACTTTTGGCAGAAAGCTATCATTAAGGTTTATTTTCTATTTGCAGCACTCAAGAAAGCTGCTGTTTTTTCCATTGTTAGTCTGTTTTTAAGTATGACTCGAAATACTCCATACCACACCCACCAGCAAAACACATCAAAGACTAAATGATAAAATGATAACTGTTGTAGTACGGCTTACTTTCATCCATTACAATTTGCATTGTTAGCATGTCATGGTGGTTTTTGGATTGTAAAAGATGCTCTTAGTCTCCTTCTGCATAAAACTTAGTGTCACATGACTGACTCCATCTTCATTTCAAGTAAGCACATTTCCGAGGTTCCAGAAGAAGATTTTTGTGAATAATGAATGTGGTATATGTTCACTTAGATTTATATATTAATTATCAACGTTATGTCAGTCATGGCTGGAAAGAATTGGCAATGTAAGAATTTGGGGATGCTGGCACCTAAGTTACTTGTATAGCTGTGACTTCAGGTGCTCTATTGTTTTAGTAACGTTGCTCTGTGTCTGGAGATTTTTGAGTACCACAGATTTTCCTTGCTACAATGAGAGATGTGTCCTGCAAAAAATATAGAAGACTGTGTGGCTAAGTAGAACAAGTAACAAAGAAGTTTAGAGCTTGGAGGTTCTTTCTCTCTCTCTCTTTCTCTCTCTCTTTCTCTCTCTCCCCCCCCCTTTTTTTTTTTTTTTTAGGAATTTGATACTTTTTATTCTGTTTTTCCATGCTACACCTCATGCTGTATGCCAGCATAAACTGGTATTTTATATCACTTCTAAAAAGTTGGAAAGTCTTGGATTGTCTGCAGGTGTCCTGTTTTGAGTACGGTATGTGAACACTTATATATCAGTAATGTTATTTTTAAAAATTCTCTTTTTAAGAAAAAGCAGATTAGTGAGTCACCAATGAAAGACAGTATCATTTAACAAAGAAGACTCTAAACATATTTTTATAGGTTACTGAAATTTATTAAATATCATCTACAAGTAACTTTTAACAATTCTTTCAATAAATAGTTGTCATTTTAAGTTTATTGACAAAGCGAGAACAAATTAGTTTTCCAACATACATTTTGAGCCCGTAGGGCTTACATAAAAGGATCAAATGTGATCTTAGAACAGACACGTTATCGCCCACACTAAGAGCATACAGTGGTCCCAAAGTGGACAGCAAGTTAGGTAGCCCCAGGGTAAAATATATAAATTATTTGTAATTAAATAGTTAAATAAATAACATAGCAGTAAAAATAGAAATGGTCATCTGCTTATTTTAGCATAGATCTCAGGAAGTTGGTCAGCTCTTGGCGAAATTCAGGGAAGTTGTTGGCATTAGCTTCACAGATATTGCATCCCGTTCCTGGGGGAATTAGGTCCTGCAATACAGATATTTTTGTTGATTGATGGTAGCTATGTTATCAGCTGGTTTTGACAATGATATGTCAATTTTTGTATGCTAAATTTCTCTTTTAAGAAGAAAGAAAACCCTTAATATTTCAGGAGAGTTTTTTTTTCAGTGGGCAGCTGTTAAGGGATGGTACAATGAAGGACGCTGCTTATAAGGGAGATTCTTGTAAATGTAAAAATATTAAAAACTAAACACATGCACTTCCTATGATAAATACTGTAGCAGATGCAAATCTTAATTTCTAGCCTGAGGAAGAGTTCTGAAGTGATACAAGGATCTCTTAGCCATGGAGTTTGTATACATAGTTTATCAAAGTGTACTTCTGTATTATTTGTTTTACATTTACTTTTGGGTCCTTTAAAGCCATAAATTTATGGCATGGTTTTCTAAGCCATGGCTTATGTAAATAATTGTTACCCTTCTAAAAACAAGTTTTTGTAAGCGTGAGGTGCCTTACACGATTCAGCAAAGAAAACAAATTTCCTATTTTTTAAAATGTTGACTTGCATAATTACTACCGCTCAAACCTGCTTTACTGTGTTGGATTATTACGTCAATAGATGGTGTCAAATAGTCTAACATTATCATATTTTTATACAAAATCCTGAATGCTCTAGAAACCATAACACACAAACCTCGAGGCATAAAAATGCTGACTCTAATGTTGCTTTTCACTAGCACTAAAACATGGTTTTGTTTGTTCGTTGTTTGTTTTGTTTTGTAACTAGGTTAAAAGGTTACCTACCATAAGTTTTTGGAGATTCATTTTGATATTCCGAACACTAGATACCTTCTCATCTTCAATTTCATCCTCATCTTCAATTTCTTCCTCCAAGGTGACTATTTCTTTCAAGTAACATTGCAGAGTTTGCCAGCTGCACTCCTAAAACAGTCATCAAAATCAACAGATACGTAAAATTTTTTCTGAGGACAACTGAATTTGTGTGTTGTTGGTTTTTTGTTTTTTTTTTTTTTTAATTGCACATTCTTATCCTTGTATGAGGAATTAGGCTGCTTTTTATAAAATGTATATTTCATTTTTTCCCCTCAAAATCATGTTTTTAAGGTTCTACATGTGGCCTTAGTTCTGAGTTATATTCTTGTAGCTTCTGATATGTGGACAATCTTTGCAGGACATCTTGAACATTGGAGTATCTTATGAGAATGTGAAGCTGCTATATTAGTTCTGAAACTGAGACTTATTCCCAGTTGTGTGGAAATCACGTCTTAAGGAAAAGGGTTAATTAATAGTAAAACCTCTCAAGCTTTACAGTAACCTTTTTAGCGCCATCTTCAGTCACTGCACTCAGGTTGCTCTCTCTAGTTGTATCCGATCTCACTTTTGAATCTGGGTAAGTATCTTTACACATCACTTTTAAAAGCTGTTTCATGCACTCTTATAAGTTATTAATCAGCCTCATACATTTGCGTTTGAGCACTGGAGCTCTGAGATAGTTACATCTTGATCTTGCCAGAATATGAGAAAAATGACTCAGATGAGGAAGTGGTTGCAGAATCTGGCTTTAAATCTTTACTCAAACGAAATTACTGTTAAGTGAAAATTCTGTTGGATTAAAAGTTTAATTGGAGGGTCAAAGTAGTTAACTTGCATGAGGATGAATTGGTATACTTGCACGCTATATCATAAAATCAGTACAGATCAGCAGCCTGTTGATAGTGAATAGTTAGGTAGTCCAGCTCTACTTAGAATGCTGTTGTACTCAGAGGTGCAATATTTTAGAAAAAAAAAATGCAACCACGATGACAGTTTTCTTGTGGAACTAAGTCTTAGGTATTAAGTGAATAACATAAAATGTGAACGTACAGCTAAGTATATCTAAGCTGGGTTGGTTAAGTTTTGCTCCTGAAAAGAATTAGGTAGAGCATAACTGAGTTTCATTATTGATGGGATATACAAGATTTGTATCTTCTTAAACAGAACCTACTAATATCTCTGCATCTCACTTCAATAAAATATGAGTATTTCATATAAATATTTAAACCATTTCTAAGTCTAGTTTTTTTTCAAAATTGTTCTTGGGTTAGTATTGATACAACTAGATTGCCTCCTGCAAATATAATACATTTAAATGATTGATAGAATATTTTTTGTGTGCATTAAGCAAAATGAATGTAATACAAATAATTTAGTGTTACGTATTTTACAGACCAAGAAGATAATACTGTACACTAGCCTGTTAATATTTGAGAATACAAATCAAAAGCAGAAATGTCTTCTAGGTTAGCCTGCTATCCTTGTGCCCAGTACTTCTAGGTTAGCTTATGCTATCCTCACACAAAGTTCAGACAGCTCAGATTTGTCTTTTGTATCGGGCCTTCTGGTAAGTGAATTACTTTGGTCTAATTCAATAACACATAACTTCAAAATAGCCGTATCTTAGCAGTCCTGAAGACAGAAAACTTGAACTTACCTTTGTGTCATTTGGTGTGTAGAGCTCAAGATCAATCCCCTGTAGAGAAGAGGGGGAAAAAGTTAATTTTTGTGAACAAAGTTAATAGACAAAAATAAGTAGAAAAGACAAATAGTAAAGAATTAATACAGGAAAACCATCCACTTACATTCATGCTTGTTCCCAGGTTTTCTAAATCTTTTATTAAAGTTTTAAGAGTGTTGTCTTTCTCTGATAGAGGTGCTCCATAAGCTGTAGTCATAAGCATTAGTACTGAAAGGCAGCTGAAGATGAGTACTTTGCACATCTTGTCAGTGTTCTGGTTGTCTCTGTGCTAGTATTTCAGTTGTGATATGTAATGAGAGCTGATATGTTGTCATTAGGCTGTTTAGTGTATTTATACTCTTCTTTCTGGAGGGAAAAAGATGGGGGCGTCATGTAAAAGAGGTTTTATTACACATTTTTTCATATGCTTTACCTGTATGGCAAGAATCATTACTTTTGTTTTTCCTCCCCTGATGACACTTTGGAATTTTTTTAAAGCAAGAGGGATTTTACCTACATTCATTGGGGAAAGAGAAGCCCACACTCACTTTTGGCAGTCTCTTTGTGCTTTCTGCATGAAACACTTTTTCCCTCATGCGCTGTCCCACTCCCCCATAGAATAAGCCATAGAGCACTCTACTGGCACACAAAATGTTCTGCAGATTTAACCACGTTGTTTATCTGTATATATTTGGCCTTCCACAAATCCTGGGGCATAGCTGAAGTGCAGAAGAAAGAAACAGTCTCATTTTAGTAATTGTTGATTAAACAACAGGAAGAAAGTTGGCTTCCTGTTTGAAGGTGGTTTTACCTGTCATCTTCTGCAAAGACAGTCAGCGTAAGCTGAGATGCATGGGTCAGTCCTCATGCGATCCGCTAGAAAATGTGTATGAAAAAAAACCTCCAGCAGGATTCTTTGTTTTGGGACGTTAAACCAAGTCTTCTCTTCTTGTATATCCTAATGCTCTTTGTTTTTCCTTGGGTGTACTTTTCCCCTCTCTCTAGGTTAAAATGAAAATGCACTGCTTTTAAGTATATTTACCAATTTTCTTCATGATAGCCAACCCATTGCGTTTGATGGTGCATGCTGCAGTACTGAAATTGAGAGTAAGCAGTCATTTGACATTGGACTCTCGCACAGTACTACTGGACTGTGTCTCTTTCCTGATTCAAAGCACTGCTGCCCGATAATCTTGGGAATGCTGTGAGCAATGTTTAAAATAGATCGTTTTCTTCACTGAGTGCAGTTCTGAGCCAAATGCTCCCCCTGCTGCCCAGAAGTCCGTAACATTATGTGAACACACATTGCTTCTGCTTCATGCATTTTGCTGCTGAAGCCACGTGGGATAAATTTGGGTTTTGTACCCTACTGTGGGTCTGCTTTGTAGCGTTCAGGATGAGGAAGTCTGGGTGGGTGACTGCTTCATCGTCTGTCGCATATAAAACTGTATGTGGGAACCTCTTCTGTAGGTGCTGACCGTGTAATACGTGTGTGCTGGGGAGGAAGGCAGTTCTGTCCAATGCCAGTTAGAATACGCTGCTGCTTGGGTTAGGTACAGTCCGTGACTGTAATCCTTTTTCTTAGTGTCTGTGTAACTGTCCGCAGACCATTAACCTGGCGTTAATTAGCAGTATGATCCCAGCTTCTGGAGAACTCAATCTTCATTTCCTGGTTTTGCAATAAGTATAAGCATTTAAAGAATACAGTCACACGGAAGTCTTAGTAGCTGTTGTAGCTTGCAATATATAGTAGACATGCAGTTTGCAACCTTTCCTGGCACTTTATCTTTTGTCTCTTGATAGCAACTGATTTCAAACGGGTTATGGCTGCAGAGCTCAGCTGCTGAGCAGTAGGTTGTGAACTTTCCTCCAGAGTGCTTGTGAAGTTAAGTCAGTTTATTGGAGGGTTTTAGTTGTTTGTTTAAGTTAATGTGTTTTGGCAGTCTGAAGCGTTAAGAAGTACTTCAGTACTGGGCACAAAACAAATTCTTGTTGGTAATTAAATTACAATTACTGCTCACTGTTTTCAATGCTATTCGGTCTTTGCTATGTCAGTTCTATAAAATTACAGAGATTTTTCCCCTTCTTTATAAAGTATTCCATGGAAATACACTTGGAACAGCAGAATTTGAGATTCTGAATCTGAAGCATCTCTGGGTTAGCTTTTACTGTAGTTCAGGGTAGAGGTTACTCCAAGCACTTCCTTTGTCTTGGAGTATTTGGTTTTGCATCAGTGCTGAAATCACAGCCCAACCAGCCTTAGGTTATTGCTGTATTTTCCCAGCGTTTTACTGTTTTCTTCTGCAAGTCATGGATAACTTAAAAGATCTGAATATGCAGTATTCAATAAATTGCCCCCACACAGGAGTTTTCACTTTGGTTGAGTGATTAATTTTCCCTTAACCTTTTGCTGTAGGCTTTGTGGTCCAGAAGGAGAAAGCAACAGGTCTTGTTTTGACCGTTTTTATCAGATGCCCTCTGCGAGGGGGAAATAATGTAGATGATATGGGTAACCTCCAGAAACAGCACACACTCAGTTAATGTTAACACACAGCTTCGTGTCTGTGTTATTCCTTAAGTTTTGGGAGTCTGTCCTGCGTAGAAGTTTTAATCTTCAATGTGCTAAAGAAGTATTTTCCAAAGTAATTAGATCACTCCTAGAGACTATTCTGTCTTCAGTTTGTACGTGCAAGACAACCCGATCTGACCACAAGTAGTTATAAGGAATCCACAGGGACAACGGCAGAACGTTTGTGGCCGTGGCACTCACCGAGGTTAAGTCAGCTGTGGTCTGCTGTGTGTCACTGAGATGCTGACCTAATGGTTTGGACCTCCCAGTAATTCTCAGTCATATTACTACTTTTTGTCCAAAACTGCTTTTTGGTTTTTATCATAGAATAATAGAATGGCTTGGGATGAGAGGGACCTCAAAGACTCATCTAATTCCAACCCCATGGGCAGGGACACCTCCCACCAGACCAGGCTGCTCAAAGCCCCATCCAGCCTGGTCTTGAACACCTCCAGGGATGAGGCATCCACAGCTTCTCTGGGCAACCCGTGCCAGTGCCTCACCACCCTCTGTGTGAAGAATTTCCTCCTTATGTCAAATCTAAACCTACCTTTGTACAGTTCAAAGCCATTACTTCTTGTCCTATCCCTACGCCACCTGACAAGAGTCCCTCCCCAGCTTTCCTTTAGGCCCCCTTTAGGTACAGGAAGGTCTCTATAAGGTCTCCCCAGAGCCTTGTCTTCTCCAGGCTGAACATCCCAAGCTCTTGCAACCTGTCTTCATAGAAGAGGTGCTCCAGCTCTTTGATCATCTTCAGGGCCCTCCCCTGGACTCTCTCCAGCAGCTCCCTGTCCTTCTAGTGCTGGGGACCCCAGAGCTGGGCGCAGGGCTCGAGGTGGGGTCTCAGGAGAGCAGAGCAGAGGGGGCAGTCACCTCCCTCACCCTGCTGGCCTCTCAGCTTTTGATGCAGCCCAGGTCCGGTTGGCTTTGTGGGCTGCAAGTGCACATTGCTGGCTCATGTTTGGCTTCGCATCCACCAGCCCCCCCAGGTTCTTCCCCTCGTCTTCCTTTTATCAGTGATGTGCCTGTGGAACTCTTTCCTAACGCCCTTGATGTCCCTGGCTAAATTTAATTCCGAACAGGATTTGGCTTTCCTAATGTTACCCCTGGCTACTCAGGCAGTGTCTCTGGACCCAACCCAGGCTGTCTGTTCTTGTTCCTACTCTCTGTATGCCTTTTTAAATGAATTCTGTTTTGCTTCCATATTTTTCATTTCAGGGCTGGCTTCCAGATTATTACAAACCGGTAGGTCAGTGTATGCTCATATACTGTCAAAAGTGGATAGCTGTTTTAGGTAAGAATATGATGATGTCCCAAAACTCCTAAATACACTGATTTTCCTCTGTGGATGGTGTTGGACTTTCTGCATTGGTCAGATTTCAGTAATTCCATTCCATCTGAGCTCTTACATTCTCTTGGGCAAGGAGTTACCTGGCGTTTTATTCAGAGGTATAGTGACTTATACAGCCCTCTCTGCTTCATTGCAGGGTTGATTGTATTTAACAGGAACTTGTTTTGGAATCATACAAGATACAGTAGTGCTGCCACTGCTGGACTTCAAAGTCCTGCCTTAAAAAAGGAGCAGGGGCAGATACTGGTGACCATGTCAGAGCGTTTCTTTCGTTTTGTTTTTAATGCCCAGTTGGTTGATTTATATCTCATTGTCTTTATAAATAAAATATTGATACACTAAAACAACATTATGGTATGACATTTAAAACCACTGTAAAATAATGATGAAAAAGCTTCAAGGAATGTGTCAAAAGCCTTATCTAAATGTTCAAGAAGATGAATTAGCAGTAATGCAGATATGTTAAAGGGAAGCATATTTGTGGATCGAGGGAGCTGGGAAAGAAGAACGTTTATGTCTTGCTGGTGTAGTGGATTGTTTATACTTTTTGTAGTACTTGTGCCTAACATAAAGAATAAAGACTCATTTTCTTTTTTTAGAAATTAAAGTAAATGAAATAATGATCACACTGAGTAAACCTCTTCGCTGCACAACTTCAAAGACTGGAAAAGATTTTACATAGGATCTGACTTCTCAGTTTTGGCGCGCTTTTTTTTTCGCGTGTCTTTCTGAACTGAAAGCTTGCATTTTTTTCATATTTTTTCCTTACAAACCTGATGACTGGTGAATTCTGGAGAGAAGTTGTGGTTTCATTGAGGTATTAGACATCTTGTTCATCAAGGTGCTTGCGTCCTTTCTCCATCACCAGAACAAAGCTGTATGCAGCTAGAGTCATTGTGTTTGGCTTGTTTGCTCTGTTTTAGTTCGTGTGCAGGAGTTTTTCAGACTCCTACTGCAGTGGCATGCTTTTACAGTATTACTGTCAATAAGAGTTCTAGGAACCACAACAGAGTTCATATCTCTTATGAAGGTGTTAACCATCAACCTGTGACCACAGGCTGTTGATTTAACTCTCTCTTCATGTTTTCTAGCCCCCTTTTATAGAATCTGGAATAGTAGAGGTCATACTCTGCTTACAGATCTCACAGTTGTATGCAATAACCCCTTTCGTATTCTGTTAGTAGGGATATGCATGGAAACATGTCAAAGTGAAGATTTGAATAAAGGGATGAGTAGCAGTTCTTCATTTGATTTTAAGCCAGCAAAAGGAGGTAGCCCTTTCTTTCCTTCTTCATCCTTTCCTCAGTTTTTCTCTTCAATCAAGCCATAGCAGAGCCTCACGA